CTCACAGAGACCCACAGACTCAACACAACAGAGACCCACAGACTCATCACACAGAGACCCATAGACTCAGCACACTGAGACCCACAGACTCATCACACAGAGACCCATAGACTCATCACACTGAGACCCACAGACTCATCACACTGAGACCCACAGACTCATCACACAGAGGTCCACAGAGACCCACAGACTCATCACACAGAGACCCACAGACTCATCACACAGAGACCCATAGACTCACCACAACAGAGACACCCACAGACTCACCACACACAGAGACCCACAGACTCACCACACACAGAGACACCCACAGACTCACCACACAGAGACCCACAGACTCACCACACAGACACCCACAAACTCACCACACACAGGGACACCCACAGACTCACCACACAGAGACCCATAGACTCACCACACAGAGACCCACAGACTCACTACACAGAGACACCCACAGACTCACCACACACAGAGACACCCACAGACTCATCACACAGAGACCCACAGACTCACCACACACAGAGACACCCACAGACTCATCACACAGAGACCCATAAACTCACCACAACAGAGACCCACAGACTCACCACACAGAGACACCCACAGACTCACAACACAGAGACACCCACAGACTCACCACACACAGAGACACCCACAGACTCATCACACAGAGACCCACAGACTCACCACAACAGAGACCCACAGACTCATCACGCAGAGACCCACAGAGACCCACAGACTCATCACACTGAGACCCACAGACTCATCACACTGAGACCCACAGACTCATCACACAGAGACCCATAGACTCATCACACTGAGACCCACAGACTCATCACACTGAGACCCACAGACTCATCACACAGAGACCCACAGAGACCCACAGACTCATCACACAGAGACTCACAGAGACCCACAGACTCACCACACACAGAGACACCCACAGACTCACCACACACACACACACCCACAGACTCACCACACACAGAGACACCCACAGACTCACCACACACACAGACACCCACAGACTCACCACACACAGAGACACCCACAGACTCACCACACACACAGACACCCACAGACTCACCACACACAGAGACACCCACAGACAGAGACACCCACAGACTCACCACACAACAGAGACTCACAGAGACACCCACAGACTCACCACACACACAGACACCCACAGACTCACCACACACACAGACACCCACAGACTCACCCCACACAGAGACACCCACAGACTCACCCCACACAGAGACACCCACAGACTCACCACACACAGAGACACCACACAGAGACCCACAGACTCACCACACAACAGAGACTCACAGAGACACCCACAGACTCACCACACACACAGACACCCACAGACTCACCACACACAGAGACACCCACAGACTCACCCCACACAGAGACACCCACAGACTCACACCACACAGAGACACCTACAGACTCACCACACACAGAGACACACAGACTCACTACACAGAGACCCACAGACTCACCACACAGAGACACCCACAGACTCACCACACACAGAGACACCCACAGACTCACCACACACAGAGACACCCACAGACTCACCACACACAGACTCACCACACAGAGACACACAGACTCATCACACAAAGACCCACAGACTCACCACACACAGAGACACCCACAGACTCACCACACACAGAGACACCCACAGACTCACCACACACAGAGACACCCACAGACTCACCACACAGAGATCCACAGACTCACCACAACCGAGACACACAGAGACACCCACAGACTCAACACACAGAGACCCACAGACTCACCACACAGAGACCCACAGACTCACCACACACAGAGACACCCACAGACTCACCACACACAGAGACACCCACAGACTCATCACACAGAGACCCACAGACTCACCACAACATAGACTCACAGAGACCCACAGACTCAACACAACAGAGACCCACAGACTCATCACACAGAGACCCATAGACTCAGCACACTGAGATCCACAGACTCATCACACAGAGACCCATAGACTCATCACACTGAGACCCACAGACTCATCACACTGAGACCCACAGACTCATCACACAGAGGTCCACAGAGACCCACAGACTCATCACACAGAGACCCACAGACTCATCACACAGAGACCCATAGACTCACCACAACAGAGACACCCACAGACTCACCACACACAGAGACCCACAGACTCACCACACACAGAGACACCCACAGACTCACCACACAGAGACCCACAGACTCACCACACAGACACCCACAAACTCACCACACACAGAGACACCCACAGACTCACCACACAGAGACCCATAGACTCACCACACAGAGACCCACAGACTCACTACACAGAGACACCCACAGACTCACCACACACAGAGACACCCACAGACTCATCACACAGAGACCCACAGACTCACCACACACAGAGACACCCACAGACTCATCACACAGAGACCCATAAACTCACCACAACAGAGACCCACAGACTCACCACACAGAGACACCCACAGACTCACCACACAGAGACACCCACAGACTCACCACACACAGAGACACCCACAGACTCATCACACAGAGACCCACAGACTCACCACAACAGAGACCCACAGATTCATCACACAGAGACCCACAGAGACCCACAGACTCATCACACTGAGACCCACAGACTCATCACACTGAGACCCACAGACTCATCACACAGAGACCCATAGACTCATCACACTGAGACCCACAGACTCATCACACTGAGACCCACAGACTCATCACACAGAGACCCACAGAGACCCACAGACTCATCACACAGAGACTCACAGAGACCCACAGACTCACCACACACAGAGACACCCACAGACTCACCACACACACAGACACCCACAGACTCACCACACACAGAGACACCCACAGACTCACCACACACACAGACACCCACAGACTCACCCCACACAGAGACACCCACAGACTCACCACACACACAGACACCCACAGACTCACCACACACAGAGACACCCACAGACAGAGACACCCACAGACTCACCACACAACAGAGACTCACAGAGACACCCACAGACTCACCACACACACAGACACCCACAGACTCACAACACACACAGACACCCACAGACTCACCCCACACAGAGACACCCACAGACTCACCCCACACAGAGACACCCACAGACTCACCACACACAGAGACACCACACAGAGACCCACAGACTCACCACACAACAGAGACTCACAGAGACACCCACAGACTCACCACACACACAGACACCCACAGACTCACCACACACAGAGACACCCACAGACTCACCCCACACAGAGACACCCACAGACTCACACCACACAGAGACACCCACAGACTCACCACACACACAGAGACTCCCACAGACTCACCACACACAGAGACACCCACAGACTCACCACACACACAGACACCCACAGACTCACCACACACAGAGACACCCACAGACTCACCACACAGAGACCCATAGACTCACCACACACAGAGACACCCACAGACTCACCACACACAGAGACACACAGACTTACTACACAGACACCCACAGACTCATCACGCAAAGACCCACAGAGACCCACAGACTCATCACACAGAGACCCACAGACTCATCACACAGAGACCCATAGACTCATCACACAGAGACCCACAGACTCATCACACAGAGACCCACAGACTCATCACACAGAGACCCATAGACTCATCACACAGAGACCCACAGACTCATCACACAGAGACCCACAGAGACCCACAGACTCATCACACAGAGACACCCACAGACTCACCACACACAGAGACACCCACAGACTCACCACACACAAGACACCCACAGACTCTCCACACACAGAGACACACACAGACCCACAGACTCACCACACACAGAGACACCCACAGACTCACCACACACAGAGACACCCACAGACTCACCACACACAGAGACCCACACACTCACCACACACAGAGACACCACACACAGACACCCACAGACTCACCACACACAGAGACACCCACAGACTCACCACACACAGAGACCCACACACTCACCACACACAGAGACACCACACACAAGACACCCACAGACTCACCACACACACAGACACCCACAGACTCACCACACACACAGAGACACCCACAGACTCACCACAACAGAGACTCACAGACACCCACAGACTCACCAGACACAGAGACCCACAGACTCATCACACTGAGACCCACAGACTCATCACACAGAGACACCCACAGACTCACCACACACAGAGACACCCACAGACTCACCACACACAGAGACACCCACAGACTCACCACACACACAGACACCCACAGACTCACCACACACAGAGACACCCACAGATTCACCACACACACAGACTCCCACAGACTCACCACACACACAGGCACCCACAGACTCACCACACACACAGGCACCCACAGACTCACCACACACACAGAGACACCCACAGACTCACCCCACACAGAGACACCCACAGACTCACCACCCACAGACTCACCCCACACAGAGACACCCACAGACTCACCACACACAGAGACACGCACAGACACAGAGACACCCACAGACTCACCACACACAGACTCACCCCACACAGAGACCCACAGAGACCCACAGACTCATCACACAGAGGTCCACAGAGACCCACAGACTCACCACACAGAGACACCCACAGACTCACCCCACACAGACTCACCCCACACAGAGACACCCACAGACTCACCACACACAGAGACACCCACAGACTCACCACACACAGAGACACACACAGACTCACCACACACAGACTCACCACACACAGAGACACCCACAGACTCACCACACACAGAGACACCCACAGACTCACCACAACAGACACCCACAGACTCACACCACACAGAGACACCCACAGACTCACCCCACACAGAGACCCATAGACTCATCACACAGAGGTCCACAGACACCCACAGACTCTCTCACCTGGATGCGTTCTCGCAGCGGCTTAGGGAAGAGCTCATAGCCTTGCTTCACCCCAATGTGATAGAGGCCGGTAGGGTTCACCCACGAATCCGGAACCTACGGAACGGACAGCAGACGAAGTTACATTCTTGGTTCTTTCGGTAAAGTCACCACCACGTAGAAGGGAAACAATTAAATAATAACTAAAATATAAAACAATAAAATTATTATTCTTGGTTCTTTCGGTAAAGTCACCACCACGTAGAAGGGAAACAATAAAATAATAACAAATATAAAACAATTAAATTATTGTAAAAAAATAAAATTATTTTTCTTGGTTCTTTCGGTAAAGTCACCACCACGTAGAAGGGAAACAATAAAATAATAACTAAAATATAAAACAATAAAATTATTATTCTTGGTTCTTTCGGTAAAGTCACCACCACGTAGAAGGGAAACAATAAAATAATAACTAAAATATAAAACAATTAAATTATTGTAAAAAAATACAATTATTTTTCTTGGTTCTTTCGGTAAAGTCACCACCACGTAGAAGGGAAACAATAAAATAATAACTAAAATATAAAACAATAAAATTATTATTCTTGGTTCTTTCGGTAAAGTCACCACCACGTAGAAGGGAAACAATAAAATAATAACAAATATAAAACAATTAAATTATTGTAAAAAAACAAAATTATTTTTCTTGGTTCTTTCGGTAAAGTCACCACCACGTAGAAGGGAAACAATAAAATAATAACAAATACATAGGAATTGGTTTTACCCTTTTAACTGGCACAAAAACTGACACCTTTATTCAAGGCATCATGTTTGCAATGACCACAACACAAGCAGTCAAAATGCAAACAAAAATAGACAACTCTGATAATAATAATATTGGCACTGTCCAGGTAGGGATCGAACCCACGACTTCCTGCATACCAGGCGAGGTAGTCAACATCTCCTAGCCACAGTGATGATGATGAGAGAGAGAGACACGCAAACTCCAAATATAGAGCAGCAGGCTGGGATCGAACCCACGACTTCCTGCGTACCAGGCGAGGTAGTCAATATCTCCTAGCCACCGTGATGATGATGAGAGAGAGAGACGCGCAAACTCCAAATATACAGCGGCAGGTAGGGATCGAACCCACGACTTCCTGCGTACCAGGCGAGGTAGTCAACATCTCCTAGCCACCGTGGCACCCACAGTTCAGTGTGCTAAGGGCTGCACCGGGAGGGAGGGGAGGGACGGGGAGGGGAGGGAGGGGAGGGAGGGGAGGGAGGGGAGTGAGGGGGGGAGGGGAGGGAGGGGGGGAGGGAGGGAGGGTGGAGAGGGGGAGGGAGGGGGGGAGGGAAGGGGGGAGGGGGGGAGAGAGGGGAGGGGGAAGGGGAGGGAGGGCGGGAGAGAGGGGAGGTAGGGGGGGGGAGGGGGGAGGGGAGGGAAGGAGGGGGGAGGGAGGGGGGAGGGAGGGGGGGAGGGAAGGGAGGAGAGGGAGGGAGGGGAGGGGGGAGGGAGGGAGGGGAGGGGGGAGGGAGGGAGGGGAGGGGGGAGGGAGGGAGGGGGAGGGGGGAGGGAGGGAGGGGAGGGGGGGAGGGAGGGGGGGAGGGGGGAGGGAGGGGGGGGAGGGGGGGAGGGAGGGAGGGGGGGAGGGAGGGGGGGAGGGAGGGAGGGGTAAGGAGGGGAGGGAGGGGAGGTAAGGAGGGGAGGGAGGGAGGGGGACACTTCTCTAAACACACCCCACCGAGGCATCCCAGACAGGTGACTACCCAACACCGCTGGCCGCGGGGCTCCACGCGTCCTCACAGCCGTACCTTGAGCGTCCGTCCCGACAGGCCCTGAATGGTCCCACGGCAGGGCCGCACCACCGTGGACGTGTCCACGTCCCCGCTGCCCGTCGCGTCGATGATGTCGATGATCTTGGGGCGGCCATCGGAGGTCACCTGCGGGCCAGATGGGAGAGTGACCCACAGACTCACCACACAGAGACCCACAGACTCATCACACAGAGACCCACAGACTCATCACTCACACAGAGACCCACAGATTCAGCACACAGAGACCCACAGACTCATCACACAGAGACCCATAGACTCACCACACAGAGACCCACAGACTCATCACTCACACAGAGACCCACAGACTCATCACACAGAGACCCACAGACTCACCACACAGAGACCCACAGACTCATCACTCACACAGAGACCCACAGACTCATCACACAGTGACCCACAGACTCACCACACAGAGACCCACAGACTCATCACACAGAGACCCACAGACTCACCACGCAGAGACCCACAGACTCACCACACAGAGACCCACAGACTCATCACACAGAGACCCACAGACTCACCACGCAGAGACCCACAGACTCACCACACAGAGACCCACAGACTCACCACATAGACCCATAGACTCACCATACAGAGACTCACAGACTCATCACACCACAGACTCACCACACAGAGACCCACAGACTCATCACACAGAGACCCACAGACTCACCATACAGAGACCCACAGACTCATCACACAGAGACCCATAGACTCATCACAGAGACCCATAGACTCACCATACAGAGACCCACAGACTCATCACACAGAGACCCACAGACTCACCACACAGAGACCCATAGACTCACCACACAGAGACCCACAGACTCATCACACAGAGACCCACAGACTCATCACACAGAGACCCACAGACTCATCACACAGAGACCCACATACTCACCACACAGAGACCCACAGACTCACCACACACAGACTCACCACACAGAGACCCACAGACTCATCACACAGAGACCCACAGACTCACCACACAGAGACCCACAGACTCATCACACAGAGACCCACAGACTCACCACACAGAGACCCACAGACTCATCACTCACACAGAGACCCACAGACTCATCACACAGAGACCCACAGACTCACCACACAGAGACCCACAGACTCATCACTCACACAGAGACCCACAGACTCATCACACAGTGACCCACAGACTCACCACACAGAGACCCACAGACTCATCACACAGAGACCCACAGACTCATCACACAGAGACCCACAGACTCACCACGCAGAGACCCACAGACTCACCACACAGAGACCCACAGACTCACCACATAGACCCATAGACTCACCATACAGAGACTCACAGACTCATCACACCACAGACTCACCACACAGAGACCCACAGACTCATCACACAGAGACCCACAGACTCACCATACAGAGACCCACAGACTCATCACACAGAGACCCATAGACTCATCACAGAGACCCATAGACTCACCATACAGAGACTCACAGACTCATCACACAGAGACCCACAGACTCACCACACAGAAACCCATAGACTCACCACACAGAGACCCACAGACTCATCACACAGAGACCCACAGACTCATCACACAGAGACCCACAGACTCATCACACAGAGACCCACAGACTCACCACACAGAGACCCACAGACTCACCACACACAGACTCACCACACAGAGACCCACAGACTCATCACACAGAGACCCACAGACTCACCACACAGAGACCCACAGACTCATCACACAGAGACCCACAGACTCACCACACAGAGACCCACAGACTCATCACTCACACAGAGACCCACAGACTCATCACACAGAGACCCACAGACTCACCACACAGAGACCCACAGACTCATCACTCACACAGAGACCCACAGACTCATCACACAGTGACCCACAGACTCACCACACAGAGACCCACAGACTCATCACACAGAGACCCACAGACTCATCACACAGAGACCCACAGACTCACCACGCAGAGACCCACAGACTCACCACACAGAGACCCACAGACTCACCACCTAGACCCAGAGACTCACCATACAGAGACTCACAGACTCATCACACCACAGACTCACCACACAGAGACCCACAGACTCATCACACAGAGACCCACAGACTCACCATACAGAGACCCACAGACTCATCACACAGAGACCCATAGACTCATCACAGAGACCCATAGACTCACCATACAGAGACTCACAGACTCATCACACAGAGACCCACAGACTCACCACACAGAAACCCATAGACTCACCACACAGAGACCCACAGACTCATCACACAGAGACCCACAGACTCATCACACAGAGACCCATAGACTCATCACAGAGACCCATAGACTCACCATACAGAGACTCACAGACTCATCACACAGAGACCCACAGACTCACCACACAGAAACCCATAGACTCACCACACAGAGACCCACAGACTCATCACACAGAGACCCATAGACTCATCACACAGAGACCCATAGACTCATCACACAGAGACCCATAGACTCATCACACAGAGACCCACAGACTCATCACACAGAGACCCATAGACTCACCACACAGAGACCCACAGACTCATCACACAGAGACCCATAGACTCATCACACAGAGACCCATAGACTCACCACACAGAGACCCATAGACTCACCACGCAGAGACCCACAGACTCACCACACAGAGACCCACAGACTCACCACATAGACCCATAGACTCACCATACAGAGACCCACAGACTCACCACACAGAGACCCATAGACTCATCACACAGAGACACACAAACTAACCACACAGAGACCCACAGACTCATCACACAAAGACCCATAGACTCATCACAGAGACCCACAGATTCAGCACACAGAGACCCACAGACTCATCACACAGAGACCCATAGACTCATCACACAGAGACCCACAGACTCATCACACAGAGACCCATAGACTCATCACAGAGACCCACAGATTCAGCACACAGAGACCCACAGACTCATCACACAGAGACCCATAGACTCATCACACAGAGACCCACAGACTCATCACAGAGACCCACAGACTCATCACACAGAGACCCATAGACTCATCACACAGAGACCCACAGACTCATCACACAGAGACCCACAGACTCATCACACAGAGACCCATAGACTCATCACACAGAGACCCACCGACTCATCACACAGAGACCCGCAGACTCATCACACAGAGACCCACAGACTCATCACACAGAGACCCATAGACTCATCACCCAGAGACCCATAGACTCATCACACAGAGACCCACAGACCCATCACACAGAGACCCACAGACTCACCACACAGAGACCCACAGACTCATCACACAGAGACCCATAGACTCACCACACAGAGACCCATAGACTCATCACACAGAGACCCACAGACTCATCACACAGAGACCCACAGACTCATCACACAGAGACCCACAGACTCATCATACAGCTTAGTTTCTTGTTCTTCCCCTGTACCTCCAATCAAAGCGGGTGGCTCCACTCATCAGGCACTCGACAAAGATTGCGCCTTCATTTCTCAGCCTTTAAAGTTGAATAAACTCGCAAAATTACGATATCGCACGGATCCCGGGAACAAAGGGCCTTCGGGCCTATTCTCCCTACCCAACTAAGACCCACAATCTCGGCAGAGAATCAAGTGCTAGGAGGGGTTGGTTCTGCGTCAGGGTTAGTATTTCTAATAAACGGCCAATTCATGAAATTAAGTACAATTCTACGTCTTTCGCGAATTGGACGCAGTCCGATAAGCACCCGAAGAGACCCACAATTTCCATTTAAAAAAAAAAACACAAACTCATGGTAGAATACGGAACGCAGCCATCGAGAGCCTACTCCCCCTACCGCCCAATGTCCCACAAAGCCGGCAGAGAAATTAGGCCAAGACCGGTTTCGGTCTCGGTTGGGATTAACATTGCTATCAAACCCCTAAATAATTAGAACAATTTTAAGAATTAATTCGTCTGCCCGTGAGTAGTCTACAATGGTCCGCAATTAGCCAAATAAAACGTTTAAAATTTAATATTTTCAAAATACCTCATGACGTAACACCAACACTGGAGGGCAAAGCCTACTCGTCCTACCGCCCAATGCGCCACAAAGCCGGCAGGGAAACTAGGCTATAAAGGGTTCGGTCTCGGGTAGAGTCAATTTTCGATCAACCCCCTCATAATTAAGCATTAATTCGCCTTCCTGCGAGTAGCCTACGAGCGTCGGCAATTCCCCAAGAAACGATTAAAATATAACATTAATTTCCAAAACACCTAACTCATGACGGGTAGGGGGGGGTTGGCGGAGGCGGTGAAGCCTACTCGCCCTACCGCGCAAGGCGCCACGAAGCCGGCAGGAAAACTAGACTAAGAACGGTCCGGTCGCGGGTTGAGTCAATATTTCTATCAACCCCTCTTAATTAAGCATTAATTAGCCTACAAGCGTCGACAATTCCCCAAAAAACTATAACAATTTCACATTAATTCTCAAATCTGGGGGGGGGGGGGTCGGGGAGGTGGTGGTGGGGGGGGGGCCTGTGAAGCCTACTCGCCCTACCGCGCAATGCGTCACGAACCCGGCAGGCAATCTAGGCTAACACGGCGCAAACCGCCGCCGCCGCCGTCACCGTCACCTGCAACCCCGGCGCTCCTGGATCGACGCCCGTGTCGAGGATGGCGATGAGGACACCGCGGCCGTCGTGCTCGGGATACTGGGCTAGGAAGGAGGCCGCGCCGGTCTCGCGCTTGGGCAGGAGGCCCTGCAGTGGGAACTCCTCAAAGGCCTCGTCCGTAGCCATCTAAGCCAGTTGCCTCACCACCAACACCAACCAACCAAAACCTCCGTTGCGGTTTCTTTTATATAGAAGAGAAAAATAAACTCTTAAAATTGTTGTTGTTGTTGTCGTGTGTGTGTGTGGCTTCTTTGACGGCTACAATATTCGATAAAAGTCACCGTTTTAAATGTTGTCGTTTTAGACCAGCAGCAGCACCAGCACCACCAACGTCTCACCACTCACTGCGGGGCGAATGTTCAGGGACGTTGAGAAACGGAGGCGAGTCGACGCTGTTACTGTTGTTGTTGTGTTTGTTGTTGTGTTTGTTGTTGTGTGTTTGTTGTTGTGTTTGTTGTTGTTGTGTGTTGTTGTTGTGGTGTTGTTGTGTTAGTTGTTGTTGTGTTTGTTGTTGTGTTTGTTGGTGTTGCTGTTGTGTTTGTTGTTGTGTTGTTGTGTTTGTTGGTGCTGTTGTGTTTGTTGTTGTGTTTGTTGTTGTTGTGTTTGTTGTTGTGTTTGTTGTTGTGTTAGTTGTTGTGTGTTGTTGTGTTTGTTGTTGTTGTGTTTGTTGTTGTGTTTATTGGTGTTGTGTTTGTTGTTGTGTTTGTGTTGTTGTGTTGTTGTGTTTGTTGTTGTGTTTGTGTTGTTGTGTTGGTTGTTGTGTTTATTGGTGTTGTGTTGGTTGTTGTGTTGTTGTGTTTATTGGTGTTGTGTTTGTTGTTGTGTTTGTTGTTGTGTTTGTTGTTGTGTTGTTGTTGTGTTTGTTGTTGTTGTTGTGTTAGTTGTTGTGTTTGTTGTTGTGTTGGTTGTTGTGTTGGTTGTTGTGTTTATTTGTGTTGTGTTTGTTGTTGTGTTTGTTGTTGTGTTTGTTGTTGTGTTTGTTGTTGTTGTTGTGTTTGTTGTTGTGTTTATTTGTGTTGTGTTTGTTGTGTTTGTTGTTGTGTTTGTTGTTGTTGTGTTTGTTGTTGTTGTGTTTGTTGTTGTTGTGTTTGTTGTTGTGTTGGTTATTGTGTTTGTTGTTGTGTTTGTGTTGTGTTTGTGTTGTTGTGTTTGTTGTTGTGTTTGTTGTGTTTGTGTTGTTGTTTGTTGTTGTGTTGGTTGTTGTGTTTGTTGTTGTGTTTGTGTTGTGTTTGTGTTGTTGTGTTGTTTGTTGTTGTGTTGTTGTGTTTATTGTTGTGTTTGTTGTTGTGTTTGTGTTGTTTTGTTTGTTGTTGTGTTTGTATTGTGTTGTTGTGTTTGTTGTTGTGTTTATTGGTGCTTTTGTGTTTGTTGTGTTGGTTGTTGTGTTTGTTGTTGTGTTCGTTGAAGTTGTTGTTGTGTTTGTTGTTGTGATGTTTTTATTGTTGCTGTTGTGTTTGTTGTTGTGTTTGTTGTTGTTGTTTGTTGTTGTTGTGTTTGTTGTTGTGTTTGTGTTGTTGTGTTTGTTGTTGTTGTGTTTGTTGTTGTGTTGTTGTTGTTGTGTTTGTTGATGTTGTGTTTGTTGTGTTTATTGTTGCTGTTGTGTTGGTTGTTGTGTTTAGTGTTGCTGTTGTTGTGTTTGTTGTTGCTGTGTCTGTTGTTGTTGTGTTTGTTGTTGTGTTTGTTGTTGTTGTGTTTGTTGTGTTTGTTGTTGTTGTGTTGGTTGTTGTGTTTGTTGTTGTTGTGTTGGTTGTTGTGTTTGTTGTTGTTGTGTTTGTTGTTGTGTTTGTTGTTGTGTTGGTTGTTGTGTTTTGTGTTGCTGTTGTTGTGTTTGTTGTTGTTGTGTTGGTTGTTGTGTTTTGTGTTGCTGTTGTTGTGTTTGTTGTTGTTGTGTTTGTTGTTGTAACGTTCTGACGCAGACCCAGCGTGCCTCCTTGACCGGGCAAATCTGTGGTCAAGAAGAGCTTTATAGCTCATCGGATTTCTCCTGCTGCAGTAAATACATCATTAAGATTCTGAGTCATCAACTCAACACGGATTTTGAAACTTCTGATTGGTAACCCACTCAGAGTCTTCATTATATTTATATATTTACTTTTAAGTGCTTTGTTTATACCTTTATTCATACTCTTTGCACTGTTGTCATGTTGCTATTGTGTTTGTTGTTGTTGTTGGTTGTTGTGTTTGTTGTTATTGTGTTTATTGTTGTGTTTGTTGTTGCTGTTGTGTGTTTGTTGTTGCGTTTATTGTTGCTGTGTTTGTTGTTGTGTTTGTTGTTGTGTTTGTTATTCATATTCTTGGTTCTTTCGGTAAAGTCACCACCACGTAGAAGGGAAACAATAAAATAATAAAAATATATAAAACAATAAAATCCTCACGACGTTTCGACTGCAACAATGCTTGCCTGTGCTGCAGTCGAAACGTCGTGAGAATTTTATTGTTTTAAAATTTTGATTCTTTTATTGTTTCCCCCTTCTAACGCGGTGGTGGTGGTGGTGGTGACTTTACAGCAAGAAACCAGGAAAAGAGCTTCAAAGATCATCGGATTCCCTCCTCCACTATCTTCTATCCATCTGCAGCGACGACTTTGACGCATATTCTTAGTTTTTTCGGTAAAGTCAACGTGACTTTACCGAAAAAACTAAGAATATGAATTACTGCAGTCACGAAAGCTTTAAATCAAGACTTTGACGCAGTCGGGCAGGCGGAGACCCCCCCCCCCCCTCCTCTACTGCACCAGCCCCGAGCCTCCCACGCATCTCCCCCCCCCTTATGCAGCGATGGAGGCCACGCCCCCCGTTCCGGAACATTCTCGCTGGTGCTACACCGGACGTGGGCAAAAGTATACGGCGCCCCTTGGGCTTTTCAATCCGGCCCGCCGAACTTGTCCAAATATAATAATAATTATTATTATCTTTAAATTAAATTTCACCTCTCTCCTGTAATGCCCCCGTTTCCCCATTAGATGGCGCACTTTGACCGGGAGTTACGACACGTTTTTTCTGTACTGTTCACGTTCGAGCAATTCGTTAAATTGCCTTGCGAATAAATGCTTCGCTGCCTGTTAAAGGCCAAATCCTTTCACGTAAATGATTTTTTTTAACACGTCATTTATATTCAGTTCACACAAACACTCCGTCCATGCGTTCCTGGCCCGGCCCCTCTGTCAAATTTTAGAACCCATTGTGGCCCGCGAGTCAAAAACATTTGCCAACCCCTGTACTAGACGCTCGCTGAACCGGCAGACTCCACCGTCCTCTTGCCACCTGGCCACGCTCCCTTCTCGATCATGCCCGCAGCCACCGGTCCACTCGCACTGCAGGCTGACTCCCCTGTCATTGCCTCCCGTGGCCACCGGTCCATTCACACTGCAGGCTGACTCCCCTGTCATTGTCTCCCGTGGCCACCAGTCCATTCACACCGTAGGTTTACTCCACTGTCATTAGTTCCCGTGGCCACCAGTCCACTCACACTGCAGGCTGACTCCCCTGTCATTACCTCCCGTGGCCACCAGTCCACTCACACTGCAGACTGACTCCCCTGTCAATACCTCACGTGGCCACCAGTCCTCTCACACCGTAGGCTGACTCCCCTGTCATTACCTCCCGTGGCCACCAGTCATCTCACACCGTAGGTTTACTCCACTGTCATTACCTCCCGTGGCCACCAGTCCTCTCACACCGTAGGTTGACTCCACTGTCATTAGTTCCCGTGGCCACCAGTCCTCTCACACTGCAGGCTGACTCCCCTGTCACTACCTCCCGTGGCCAACAGTCCACTCGCACTGCAGACTGACTCCTCTGTCATTACCTCCCGTGGCCACTAGTCCACTCACACCGCAGGCTGACTCCCCTGTCATTACCTCCCGTGACCACCAATCATCTCACACCGTAGGTTTACTCCACTGTCATTAGCTCCTGTGGCTACTAGCCCACTCACACTGCAGGCTGACTCCCCTGTCACTACCTCCCGTGGCCACCAGTCCACTCACACTGCAGGCTGACTCCCCTGTCATTACCTCCCGTGGCCACTCGTCCATTCACACTGCAGGCTGACTCCCCTGTCATTACTTCCCGTGGCCACCAGTCCACTCGTACTGCAAGCTGACTCCCCTGTCATTACCTCCCGTGGCCACCAGTCCACTCACACTGCAGGCTGACTCCTTTGTCATTACCTCCCGTGGCCACCAGTCCACTCACACTGCAGGCTGACTCCCCTGTCATTACTTCCCGTGGCCACCAGTCCACTCGCACTGCAGGCTGACTCCCCTGTCATTACCTCCCGTGGCCACCAGTCCTCTCATACCGTAGGTTTACTCCCCTGTTATTAGCTCCCGTGGCCACCAGTCCACTCACACCGCAGGCTGACTCCCCTGTCATTACCTCCCGTGGCCACCAATCCACTCGCACTGCAGGCTGACTCCCCTGTCATTACCTCCCGTGGCCACCAGTCCATTCGCACTGCAGGCTGACTCCCCTGTCATTACCTCCCGTGGCCACCAGTCCATTCACACTACAGGCTGACTCCCCTGTCACTACCTCACGTGGCCACCAGTCCACTCACACTGCAGGCTGACTCTCCCTGTCATTACCTCCCGTGGCCGCCAGTCCACTCGCACTGCAGGCTGACTCCCCTGTCATTACCTCCCGTGGCCACCAGTCCTCTCACACTGCAGGCTGTCTCCCCTGTCATTACCTCCCGTGGCCACCGGTCCACTCACACCGCAGGCTGACTCCCCTGTCACTACCTCCCGTGGCCACCAGTCCACCCACACTGCAGGCTGACTCCCCTGTCATTACCTCCCGTGGCCACTCGTCCAGTCACACTGCAGGCTGACTCCCCTGTCATTACTTCCCGTGGCCACCAGTCCACTCGTACTGCAAGCTGACTCCCCTGTCATTACCTCCCGTGGCCACCAGTCCACTCACACTGCAGGCTGACTCCTTTGTCATTACCTCCCGTGGCCACCAGTCCACTCACACTGCAGGCTGACTCCCCTGTCATTACTTCCCGTGGCCACCAGTCCACTCGCACTGCAGGCTGACTCCCCTGTCATTACCTCCCGTGGCCACCAGTCCTCTCATACCGTAGGTTTACTCCCCTGTTATTAGCTCCCGTGGCCACCAGTCCACTCACACCGCAGGCTGACTCCCCTGTCATTACCTCCCGTGGCCACCAGTCCATTCGCACTGCAGGCTGACTCCCCTGTCATTACCTCCCGTGGCCACCAGTCCATTCACACTACAGGCTGACTCCCCTGTCACTACCTCACGTGGCCACCAGTCCACTCACACTGCAGGCTGACTCTCCCTGTCATTACCTCCCGTGGCCGCCAGTCCACTCGCACTGCAGGCTGACTCCCCTGTCATTACCTCCCGTGGCCACCAGTCCTCTCACACTGCAGG